TAAATTTTGATATAGTATTCTTATACGTCAATATGCATTTGCATTCAATGCATTTTATGTACCTATATTTTTATAAAATAAAAAGAAAGCAATTTTTTGTTTATCTTAAGATTTTTTTTATTTATAGTTTTTCGTTCGAATGCAGAATCGTAAATTCCAGCACTACAAATGAAGTAAATAAACCATGGTGTTGTTGGGTTCTGCGACTAAATGCGATAGTGTTCCGTAAGTAGAGCCTTCTTAGGCTTCTTCAACCGCGCGCCCTGCGAAAATAAATTTATTAATTTCATTTGTATCAAATAAATGTACATATACACAAACAGACATAGATGTCCGATAAACTGAGAAACAAAATTAAACAGCGTAGTATTGATGGTTGTGGCTCATCAGTAGTCATATCGGAATATTAACAAAGATTAAACGTTGAGTCAAATGACACATACAGTTATTTATGAACTTTTCGTTTTTTTTTAAGTCTAGGCAGTTGGCATGCTGAAACTCTCGATTATGTGTGAGCTTGGGAATTTTTTATAATTCGAAAATGCCATGTTAGTAATGTGCTAGGGGAGTCACTAATTACTTAACTTAAATATATTAAGATTATTGATCGATCATTTGGCAGGAATACTTTTTTAAAGCAGGAGATTTTTGTTTGCTTTATTTTTGGATTCTGTGTACGACACGTTGTTGGAAAGCAATAACGTATATAAAACATAGAGGAAAAACTTAAAACAAGCAAAAAACAAGAACGTTAGTTGTTTAACCAATTAATTGGGAAACGAAACAACTGATGTATATTTTCACTTACTACATCGCATACTTTTTTATAATTTAAATAAATGTTTATCTCGATGCTGTTTTACTTTTCATCTGGAAATTTAATAGTAAAATATAATAAAATTAAAAATTTGTAAATAATATTCTAATAATTGAATAGGTACTTGACCCTGTCAGGCTTAAATTTCGATTTAAATTTTTAAGAAAGAAATTTAAATATTCTAGCTAATGACTATTTCTTATGAATTTAAGGTGACAATTCAAGCATGAATTTTAATTAGACCTTGTCGGTTAAATTTAGCTGAATTGATGCATTTTACTAAATGTTTTACAAAACGATTTCTCCAAAATTTTGCCATACTTTACGGTATACTGTGATGTACCCTAATAAGGCAGGTAAATTTTCTGGAGATCGATTATATATTGATTCAAATATTAAGTATATTAAATGTTTTACTTACGTGCTGGTTTTCCATCGACCCAAGGAGTGAACCTCACATGTGTCTCATTGCGCTTAGCAGCCTACGAAAGAAAATGGAATAAATTACAATTATTTCAATGGATTTTCAGCATTTAACTTACATCGGTTCGCAAATTGGCCTTCAGCGCTTGTCGCACAACACGAGCGCAGATGTTGGAGTATTGGATGTAGCTGGAACAGACAAAACAAATAAGGAATTGCATATCAAATTGATGTTACATAATGTGGGTATGGTAATAGATATGCTATCAAGCGATAATTAAACTGAATTATCGCGGATTTTGCAAATCCTCAGCAATACTTACGTAAGTCCAGCTGCTCTCCATGCGTTGGTCATTTTGCTGATGTGTTTTTTGTATTTTTTACTTGTGGAAAATCGAAAAAATTTGCAAAAAAAAATGCTAACGCACTCGCCGATACAGCCGAAGTCCAAGAAAAATCGCTATATGACAGTTGGAAATGTGACAGTTGTATTGTCAGTTTGCTGTCATTTAACGTAATTCTTCTTCTAGCTGATTTGACGAAATAAGGTTACAATGAGGTGGTGAATAAAGTTGGTGCACATTCCGTATTTGTAAAGTATTTACAAAGTACGTAATTAAAAAAGCTACAACAAATACTTAAATAGTAGCGAGAATGTAAAAAGGAGAGCCATTTTAAAAAGTTTGAGCTACTTTTTTTTCTTTGTTTTAAATATTCTTATTTTTTTATGAAATTGTACCTATTTGTTGTATTTTTTTATTTCTTAAGCTCGAGGCCCAGAAAATTATAATTAAATCGTTAATTTGTGATTTTTATTTTTCCGATAATTTTTAATAGTTATTACTTAATGTTTATTTTTTCGATCATCTTTAAGCGTTATTATGTGATTTTTATTTTTTCGATCATCTTTAATCGTTACTTCATGACTTATTTTTTTGATCAGCTCTAATCGTTACTTTGGATTTATACCTTTTTCGATCATTTTTAACGGTTATAATTGAGACTGCGTTTTTATTACTAATTTAAACCTTTTATGATCTATAACATCAAATCTGAAAATAACGGTTATAATATGATCAAAAAAATAAGAATCATAATATAACGATTAAAAATGATCGGAAAAATAAAAATCCAATTACAACGATTATTT